CGCTTTAATTGATAAGAACTGGGTGGTGCTGGTATGCTTGTAAATCTTCCATAATTTAAATTTGATGTCATTTTCCCCACAAGACTGGCCACTTGGCAACCTTATCACAAACGAAAGGAAACAAAAAAGGCCATTATCATAAGGTTGATGAATTGTCCTGCCTCCATTATTTCTTATAAGCCCATAATTCAGATTTGATTTTTATTTTTTTTTATTTTTTAGTTACTAAACTCTCAGAGCCATTCTATTTGTTTAATTGGTCTTGTCTACATGAACAAATGTGCATCAAATTTATGGCTAACTCCCTAGTTGTGCTTTCAAAGTTCTAACCATTAAGTTCTTGTTTGAGAAGGCGGCGAAACTCGTTCCATTGCAGCGAGCGCCGACGTGTGAAATTACTTTCATTTATCGGAATCATTCCTTGTGATTTGTCTTATCACTAAAGGAAGCAATTTATTTCAGATGCAAGATTTATTTTTGAGAAAAAATTTAACTTTTTATGAGATGTAATGATCAAATCATTAGGAGGTGTGCGCCCCGAAAATAAGTAAAAAATATCATTAGATTATGCGATGACTCGGATTTTTGAGAGTATTTTATAAGTCTTAGAGCTGCTTATAAGATCTTATAATCAATATTCTACAGACCTAACCTTTCTAAAGATGTTAATGAATACATTAAAAATATGATAAATGCTAAAGGGTAGACAATATGTTTTAATGCACTTAAATTACAGTTTAGAGGTAGAAATATTAGATGTTTGAGTTATAGACATTATAAGACCATTTTTATGATCTTTAGAAAATCAGTATATTTTGATTGCAATAAATTATGTCTCAAAATGGATTAAGGCTTTTGCTCTACCTAAAAGTGATTCACAAGGTGTACAAAACATTTTAAGGAAATATATTTTTAATAGATTTAGAACACCAAGAGTTATTATTAGCAACAGAGGGAATCACTTATGCAATAAATGAATTGAGACATTAATTGCTAATTATGAGATTAAATATAAAATTTATTATACATATCATCCTCAAACTATCGATTTAACAAAAATCTCAAATAAAAAGATCAAAAAAATTTTAGAAATAAACTATTAACCCTAAAAGAAAGGATTAATTTCTTAAGCTGGATAATGCACTGTGGGTCTATAATACTGCTTTTAAGACTCTCATATAGGTAAGATTACTATGATTGAATGAGTTATAGAAGATTAAAATATAAGCACATGAGAATGCCGAAATTTATAAGAAAAATATGAAAAAAATGGCATTATTAAAAGCTCATTAGAAAATATTTCAAGTAGAGAAAGAAGATTTTATTATTTAAATCATTATTGAAACTATTTCCAAGAAAATTAAAGTCCAGGTGATATGGTTCATTCAATGTAGTAAAGGTTTACCCCTTTGGAGTTTTAGATATTGATGATAGAAAGACTGCCCACATTTTAAAGTTAATATATAAAGGTCGAAGCCTTATTTATGTAGATATAGAGTAGGTTCTTGGGAAACCATTGACTTAGGTCATCCCAAGTAATGATCTGTTGATGTTTTTTGAGAGGCAACCCAAGTGTTGATTTATTGTGTTTACTTATATTTTTGCAATGTTTGCTTCAATTTAATGTGTGTGCCTTATCTTGATTTAGAAGTATAGGTTTTTCAAATTCTGCACCAAGCACCATCACGCCCCACCCAAGCTATATATCGCCACAAGCAAATATCGTAATGCCTCCTTCCTTATCTACATGACTTTATCCCATTCATTTTCACAGATTTATTTAATTACCACATCACTGCCATTCTTGCATTGTGGCTCCAATCACATTTTCTATAAATACCTCTATTTCGTTTATCACCTCTTCAAGCTACCAATCCATACCTAATGTCTTGAAGAAGTTTGAGAGGTGCGGGCCCAATCGCCCTTGAGTTCTTCTCCAACACAAAAGAACAAGTGTACGATAAATTTTTTGTTCGGGGAAGCAAGTATACTTTAGTTCCACCCATATCAACTCACTTTTTGGACTCCCTGACATTCCTAATAATGATTACTCTCAGTTTATGGCCTTTGATTTTGATCTCCTTGAAATCATAAATTTTCTAACTGATTCTCACATTGAGTGGCATCTTTGAAAGCGAGATTAATTAAATTACCTCCCAATGCCGAGTCAATAGTCTGACATTACAATTTTACAAAACATTAACTTCGGGAAATATTAGCAAGGCGACTCGGGATAGGGCTTCTTTGAACTATTTCATTCAAAAGGAGTAAACCATAAAGACTACAGCTTCAGATGATAATACTACATTTGAGAGATATGAGAGTTCCTCTAGACTTAGCTCTTCAGAATCTCAATCAACTCCCCAGGGCTCTCAACATCTCCAATCAAGTTGGTGAGCTATGAGACCTCCATTTGCTGACACATACCACACATTATCTGAATTTTATGTTAGATTCTTCAGAGTTTAACAAGCTCTGATCTTTTTAATTTGCTTCCAGTCTTCAGAATCTGAACAAGGGAAGCGAAACCCCTGCTGCAAAAGGGCTCCTTTAGAAAGATTGAATTTTGAAATTACCAAGATTGCTTCCAATGGTTCTTCTTAAATGCTCAAGTTACTGAATTCAAGTAAACTCATAAAAAACTGAATGTTATTTTCAACTTCCTTCGACATAATCATTACCTGGTTTTAATCTTCAAAAAGAATCTTATTCATGGCTTCCAATGTTGAGGATTGCATCTCCAAATCTCCTGTCTTTGGCCTCAAAAAGAGATCTTTGATGTAGAATTTCATGACTTCTCTATTGGCTCTACACTTGCAGGCTTTGCCACAAGGATTGCTCTAGAGTTCACTACTGCCTGAAGCGCAGAGTTCAGTAAGATGTTTGTTGAGGATATCCAATCTTAACGATGATTTATCAATATTATTCTTCATTAGAAGCTTCACTCCATTGTAAAAGCTATTACAACAATGATCTTCAAGCAATTGGATCTTAGTCAAAGTTGTTGATACTTCTTTTAATAGCTTTCAAAGAAGAGCATCCTCTAAAAAATCATGACTTTGAGCAGCTTTCTTCAGATGGGAGTTGAGCTTATCAAGCTTGTCTCTAATAGCGTGCCATTTGAAAGGGAAAGTGGTGATGAAATAAGCGGAGTAGATGAAGGAACTGATAAGCTGATGAAAGGAAGGTATTTGCTCCGTCACACTAGTTTTTTATTATAAATGGCAAATTGAAAAAAAATCTTTGTATGTATATGAATTTATAGCTAAAATTTGACAAACGTTTTATCAAGGAATTTGATGAGAAGGTAATATTAGGCTAACGGAAGGGGTGCTCGGCCTCCTTGGTCCTTTAATATGAAAGTATGAGAGTTGTAATGGAGGGTTGGTCTTGAACGTGGCTTGGCAAAGAATGTGAAGTAAGCTTTTTTCTTACTAATTATGAAAGTATTTTGGTAGTAGAAGTAAAACTAGCTAGGTAGGACTTTATTTTATATCAATATGGTCATGGGAACATAAGAACATGAGTGGTTCATACTTTGGAATTAAGTTTATTTCGATTTAATGATTTGCTCATAAGTGGATTTGAGAGTGAGATTTTAGGTGCTTATGTGCTGTTATTTGTGTGTGTGTGTGTGGAAGATTTACATGCATATCACTCAACTATTATGTATTCACATAACTAGCACCTAAAATTCATTGTTTACATCTAAGCCATTTTTTTAACTATGCATCATAAAAGCGTATTTCACGTTTTAATTGTTAAAATAGTGGTAGTTTTGATGTCATATAAGAGATTTGTGTGATATCTATGTGAAAAGTAAAGCTTAGGTGTTAGATATGTAAATACATAAGAATTTAGTGGTATGCCGTATATATATATATATATATATATATATATATATATTCCCACTTCGCTAACCATTACTAAGATTAGCGAGTTATCTAACCATTTCTTGATAAAGGAAAAGAAAATAGAATTGTAATGGAAGTTTAAGAATATGTGTAAGAACATGGAGTTATATAATTATTTAACTTTATGTTTAATGACTTAAAAAAATATTAATATGCTTTTCATATGGCATATTATTAAATTATTTTGGGAGATTTAATAATAAATCCTATAAAAGTATTGATGACTACAGAGCTTAGTGAATGAATAACAATGGTCAAACTATGCTTCGTAAATGATGGCGGTCAGGAGATGGCAATTCTGCAACAAAAGGTGAGCTAAGATGGTCGAAAAATGATCCTATAACGATGAAAAGCAATTTATTTTGGTGAGATGAAGATTATAGTAGTGATTATTCAGGTTAATACTAAAATGGGAGATTTACAGACATACCACTCAATTTCTATGCATTTATATCTCTACCAACTAAACTTCAATTTATATACCACCTTACCTATTCATGAAATGTTCATAACGCTTTTAAAATTAAGATAGTGGTAACTTTCATGTGATATAAAAGAGTGGTATAAATGTAACAAGCAAAATTTAGTTTGTTAGATATATAAATACATAGGAATTGGGTTGCCTGTTGATCAAAGCCCCCAACTAAAAGATTTTTAGTCACAACTGATAAAGTTCAATTATTAGACATACTACAACGCAGATTCTCTAATGGTTTAACGTCAAAACTAGAATATCAGAAAGAGCATTAGTCCACCACTCATCCTAACACATGGGTGATGGGGCTTATAAAAAGCTCACAGTTAACAAGGAGCTCATGTTTGCTTATTTTTCATTCATTTCTTATACAAATAAATTAAAATGAAAACAAGTTTGAGAAATTAAGTATCATGTTTCACTCATTTTGGCTCAAATCAATTAAAAAATAATTAATTCTATTATTATAATATTTTTATACTATATTAAAAAAAATCATTTTTATTTCCTAAATTATTTGATTAATTTTGAACGAAACAAATGTTAATTACAAATTTAAATTTGTGGGCAGTTGGCAAAGCTGCTGTCTTACAAGTTCAATACTTTCTGGGTTTAAAAAAGGTTTATTTCATTATCAAAGTAACTTGGGTTTGTTCGAATATTTACACAAACATCCAGTTTTTAGCTATTACTCTGGATTGCAAAAACAAATAACCGGTTCAACATAAAACAAAGGATGTCATTGAAAAAGCTGCTCTAAAGAAGAGGATGATACAGATGAAAATCAAATGGAGGGAGAAAATTGCGATTATATGCAGCTAGAATCCCTTCCAAATATGAATCGTCTTGTCCAGTCTGAAATCACCAGAAACCTTGTCCGCCAACTCACCTGTTTACTGAACGTGGAATCAAAATATTAGAAAGAGAGAATAATAATGAATTAATAAGATGATAAATTATTGAAGGAAGATTTACATAGATGCCACTCAATTCGTATGTATTTATATATATAACACCAAAAGTTCAATTTTTTACATATACCACTTTCCTATACAAACTTTTTCAAAGTGAAGAAAGAAGTGATTTTTTTTTGGTCAAATGAAGGGAATTTTTTTTTTTTTTTTGAAAATAATCATATGAATGAAATGTAAAAAAGTAAAGTTTAGGTGTTAGATATGTAAATACATAAAAATTGGGCGGTATGTATGTAATAAGGGCTCAGGAGAAGAGTATTGATGAATATGATATGACAAAGGATGGCAAACAAAATTGTTACACACTTAATTAAGGTTGCAGTGATGCAAGAAGAGCTAAATCAATTTTACATTTCTATGCTGTATAGAGCCTTTACGCATTGACGAGGATTTAGCAGATGAATATTGGATTGCAGTGATACATGAAGAGTCAAATATATTCACTAAAAATACATGTTCGAAAATTAGTACGAAAACCCAACGAGAGAGCATTAAACCACCCAAAATGTATCAGGAATGTAAACTTGAACGTTTTCTACATGCCATAATACCTTGCGTATACAGAATACCATAACCACTGCGAGCTATGGCCTATAGAGATCCAATCTCCTGGTAACTGTGCAGCGGCTTGTTCACCTCCTAATGGAGCAAATTGACCCAAGTGTTTGTACCTTAAGTGAGAAATTGTAACAAAGATTGTCAGATGATAAAAAAAAATGGCAAAGATGAATCAAATATGACGGACAAAGGAGTTTTGAATGAATAAATTCTTCAAAATAAGATGCAGTTTTTAAACCAACAGAGGGCAGAGCAAACAAACTGCATAGTTCTTCGAATTTTCAGCTCTGAGTATCATTTGTAAATTCCGACGACATTATAAATAAAGGAAGTGAAACTTTTACCAGGGACCAAAAATGACAAAATAGTCGAAAATATTTGCTTTTCTGGAGGGGGTGGGGGAATCACAAGGCTGAACATAAGCCCCAAATATTCTCTATTTTAAATAGTTCACAAATAAAAAATGATGTTTGATAAAAATCAAATATAAACAAAAAAAGTGATAAATTTCAGAACTCAAAAGACCATAACCACATGCTAAAAATTCTAACTTCAACGTCTAATTGACAAAAACATATATGTTTTCTTTAAAGATCTTACAAAGGATTTATTCAGTTTTCCTTCGCAACAATATGGATTTGACCATGTTTCATCACTTTTCCAATACCAGCTTAACAATGCTTAGCTTTATAATTGTTCGACAATAGATTTGAGCGCAAAACTTAAACCTAAAAGATTTTTTCTCAGATTTCCTTGTTTAGCCAGCCATGCAAAATCCTTTTGACTAGTCCTGATTGCACAATCTGATTCCACCATTTCAATAGTCTATTTATTCATCTTATCATCCAAACAGATGGGAGAGCTACTTATAATATGTTAAAATATAATAATTTTGTTATTTAATGAAATTTCAATAATGTAATGGAGCTATCGCCCTGCTAATAGGGTGAGGAAAAAAAAATGCAATGGCCATAGAGCCCAAACAACTTCTCTGTCTATCCTAATGCAATTTCTCCTCAACATTCCTTGAGAAGAGCCCCAATGAAAAGTACAATCTATAATCGAGAGAAATCTAGCTCTTGTAGTAATTTATAAATATATGGAATGCATTTTTGCTTTTTATAAATTTAGCGTGCATAAAACTTGTCGAAAAAAAAATCGACTTCTGTTAAGTAAGGTAGAGGTAGACCTAGGAAGACTTGGGCTTATTGTATAAAAAACAATTTTAATTTATTAGAACTAAATGAAAATATGACACTAAATAGGATGCAATGGAGGAAAAGGATTCATGTAGCCATGTAGCCAACCCCAAGTAGTGGGATTAAGGCTTTATTGTTGTTATTGTTGTATACTTCAATTGTCCTTAAGTTGAGAGCCAAAAAATATTAAAGACTGGAAAACTGAGAAGGATTTCGACTGATGCTAGGGTAGACCGGACAGCTACCATAGAAATCATGGAGGAGATTGATTGAGGACTGCTTTGGAAACCCTTGATTGGTTTTATTCATTTCCTATTTTGTTTCTTTATTTTTTTAATTCAGATTTACTTCATTTCGTAATTCAGATTAGATATATTTGATAAGTTTGTAAATTACGGGAAAATGTTTTCCTATATATATGTACCCTAGATGTGAACAATAAGATCAAGGGAATTGCTCCTCTCCAAATTTGTTGTCTACATAGTACCGGAGTTTGGAACAAACCCTAGCTTCCAACAACCACCAGGTTCTCCTCTATCGACCTGCAGGCCCGCATCCTCTCTTCCATGCAGCCAGCTCCCTACAGAAGTCTCCCTGTTATTGTCTGCCTGCACACTTCTTCCAGGCGCACCTCCCTGCAAGCCACTCCTCCCTACAGGCTTCCTCCAGGCACACCTCCCTGCAGGCCTCTCCCCCTTGTCCCCGCAGGCCCCTAGCCAGATTCTCCCTATCCCTGTAGACCACACAGCCGGAATCTCCCTGCAATAGGCCTTCCTTCACCGGAATTTTCCCTGCCGCAGGCTCATCTCCACTAGATTATCACTGCTGCAGGTCCTCCTCCATAAAAAAAAACTCCTTCTCAAAATATCCAGGGGCTTATGACCAAGTACAGGATGAAGGCGCCGAGCCCTATTCCAAAGATCAATCCGAAATCAAAGAACAGGAATTCTATCCAAAAGGCTCATGAATACTCTACTTTTATCACAAATCAAAAACTCAATGGCCATGACTTCCTTCAACAGTCTCAATCCGTGCTTATGTACATTTGTGAAAAAAAAAAAGAAATATCTCACAAGAAAGGGCACAATTCCTAAGCTTATTGATTCTAACCACCGCACATCGATGATTCAAGATCATATCGTGATATGTGGGCTAGTCAACCAACAACCAGTAAAGTAGGAGAAATTTTGTTTCTCTACAAGACTATCAAAGAAATCTGAGAGGTTAGAGAAACATAATCCAAAGCTGAGAACACTGCAAAGTTATTTGAGATCACAACCAATCTTCCTGATCTTCGTAAAAGAGAGTTAAGCGTCACCCAATACTTCAACATCTTGATAAAATATTGGCAGGAATTAGATATGTTTGAAAGACATGTGGAAATATACACATGATGTCGTGATGTTTAAGCGGGCAGCAGCAACTAATTGAAGAAGCAGTCATGAAATTGTTGTAAAAGAAAAGTTGTCTTTCAAAAAATCAGACAACTTTTTGACAGTCACCACACTTTAATAGCTTATGTTGAAAAAAACAACATTCCACCGTAGAAATTTCTAAAAAGCAAGAAGAAAGTAGTTTCCCAAATAGAACTGTGGTGGCGGTCTAAAAAGCAAAACAAACAAAAAGCAGTCCCAAACAGACCCTAAATCCATTATCGAGAAGAGAACCATCAAATTTCTATTAGGGCCAACTCAAGAATTGGATGAGGTGAGAGGGAGGATCATGAGAAGAAAGCCTCTTCCATTTACCAGTGAACCGTTTGGTAAAGTCAGGAGAGAAGAGAGCAAAAAGAAGCTAAGGTTGACTGAAAATGAGGGTTCACCAAGTGCTAAAAGCTCAGCCCAATACACTCATAATTCCTCCCATGACTCAAACCATAAGAATAATTGTCCTACACTATTGCAAGAAGATTGGGTATATCAAGGATAAATGCTGGAAATTCCATAGAAAACCTACACATTATAAATCTGGACAAGGAAAGAAAGATTAAGAGAAAAAGACTAATAATGCTACCACATTTGAAGGGTCGGTTGAACCATTCACCAAGGAAAAGTTTGAAATACTGGAAGAACTCCTTTGAGGTAATTTAAGCAGCACACAACACACCAAAATAATATATCATTCTCTCATCTTGTCATCAATGGGAGATTTAGAACTTGGATAAAAAATTCAAGAACCTAAAATCATATGACCGGAGACATTAATGCTCTAGTCAGCTATCAAAAGGCTTATGTATCTAGATCGATAAAACTTGCAGACGGGTCTCACTCAAACATTGTTAGGAAAAGAGATTTGGAGCTCTCTCGGGATATTACTCTTTCCTCTATTTTATATGTTCCATAGTTGAGCTGCAATTTAATTACAATCGTAAGCTTGCTCATGAAAAGAAATATATAACTAGATTCCTTGCAAACTCTTTTGAATTTCAGTTGGAGTGAGAGAAGATAATTGACAATACTGAAATGCATTAAAGCTTATACTACTCAAGGAAAGTCTCTCTCTAAATATAAATTATTCCATCTTCATATTTACTTCAAATTTTTGAGTTTGTTGAGTCTGTCTAACAAAAATCAATTCTTATTATGACATTATCGTCTGGATTATCATAATTTCAATCATGTTGCTAAGTTATATCATCATTTATTTATCAATAAAAAATTTAATTTTTATTAATGTAAAATTTGTCAACTTGTCAAACACTCGAAATAGTTATCTCATGACTCAGTACAAACACTCCCTTTTTTTATTAGTCACAGTGATATTTGCGGACCTTCAAAGGTGAAAACCCTAAGTGGGTCAAATGGTTTGTCTAATTTATTGGCGATCACAATATAACCACTTGGGTATTCCTAATGAAAGAGCAATATGAAACATGTCAAAGCTTTCATAACTTCCATGACATGATTCAAACTCAATTTTAATGCAAATTCAGATCCTCAAAACTGATAATACAAAGGAATATTTCAACTCTAACCCTTGGATCCTATCTTTGAAAAAATGGGGTCATCCATGTGAGTTTATGTATATCACATAAAAATTGGGATATATCTGAGAGAAAGAACAACCATAGGTATCCCACTTAAATATGAAGTCTCATTGTTCTAAAATATTATTGGGTAGAAGGGGTTCTCACCGCAGGATACCTTATCAATCAATGTCAAGTCAGGTCCTTAACTCCAAAACATTTATGTTTAGACGGTTAATTATACTCACATAAGAGTTTTTTCTTCTATTATACCAATTAAAATCTTTACGTGTGTATTTTTGTTCACATCTATTCTCATAATCACACAAAACTTGAACATAAATAAGTCAATACTATTTTTCTCAAGTATGCCACCAACAAAAAGAGATATAGGTGTTACTCTCATGTTACCAAAAAATACAACTTCATGGATGTCATATTTTTTTTAATTCAATCATACTACTCCAAATCAGATGTTCAAGGGGAGAGTGCAAATGAACATAAATCATGGGACGTACTTGATGACACCTATAAAACCTCACCACCTACTCCACCTAGCCCTCCTATCCTAGTTGAAGATGTCCAACCAATCCAACCTGAAGTCCAAAACTAAAAACTTTGTGTGTACACAAGGAGGAAGAAAAACCTTGAGCAGGTAGAAGACAACTTGCAAAGACAAAACTGCTCAAACTGAAATTCAAGTGCGCATTCACCTGAAATCTCGAGCAAAGATGAGTCTAATTCTCATGAGTTATCCCTTTCATCTTCTGATGCTAGTGAAAAGGAAAGTTGCATTAGTTATCCAATTCAAGAGTATGTAATTTATAGGAAGCTATCCTCATCCTATGAAACATTTTTTTCTAACCTTGATAGTATGCATATTCATAAATCCATTTTTGAAGCTCTTGAAAAATTTAAAATGAAGGAAAGAAATTGAATAGAAGATTCGAGCACTAAAACATAATGACACATGAAATTTTACTCAACTCCCTTGAGATAAAAAACTGATTGGGTGCAAATAAGTGTTCAATATTAAATAAAAAACTGATGAGGTTATTGAGAGATTCAAAGTCAGACTTATTGCGAAAGATTTCACTCGTCTACGAAATTGAATATCAAAACTTCTTCGCACCAATTGCCAAACTTAACATTATCAGAGTTCTCCTTTCAGTAGCAATTAACAAGGAATGGAGACTGCATTAACTTGACAAAAAATAGCTTTATGAATAGAGATCTGAAAGAAGAAATGTACATGGAGATACTACCATAACTTGAGAATGATTCCAACAAACACCTAATAAGCAAACTCACCACACCTCTCTATGGGCTTAAGAGATTACCAAGTGCTTGGTTTGACAATTTGCTAAAACTATAAGATCTAATGGGTATTCTCAAGGCCAAGTTGATCGTACTCAATTTGTAAAACACACACAGGGAGGTAAGAATGGTGCACTGATAGTATTTATGGATGTATGATTCTGACTGGTAATGGTGAAAGAGAGATTCTCAAAATATCAAAAAAATGCTTGCCACTGAGTTTGAGATTAAGGACCTAAGATCCATTAGATATTTTATAAGTATGTAGGTAGCAAGGTTCAAGGGAGGCATCATTAGATCACAAAGAAAATAATCTGATCTACTAAAGGAGGCGGATGAATGAATGCAAATTTGATTATACTCCCATGGATCCCAACCAGAAGTTGAATAAGAAAGAAAAAAATGTCTCTATGGATAAGAGAATATATCAAAGATTCAATGAAAAACACATATACATGTCACATACAAGGTCAGATATTGCATATTTGATCAACATTATAAGTCAACTAATGAATAACCCAAATGAAGAACATTTGGAGATAGTGTACAAGATTATGAGGTTTCTAAAAAAGACTACTAATTATGGAATAATTTTTGAGAAAACAAGAAACCAAGGTAGAAGTGTACATTGATGTAAGTTGGGCTAGGGAACTTATTAAACAGAAGGTCCACCATAAGTTATTGCTTTTATGTATGGGGAAATTTGATTATATGAAAAAATAAGAAGCAACCTAAGGTTTCTAGAAGCAGTGTTGAATCAGAGTATAGTGCTCTTTCTTTAGGAATTTGTGAAAAGATCTGAATTAAAAAATTGTTAAATAAATTGGGGTGTACCTCCAATAAGCCTATATAAATATTTATTACAATTAAGCATCTATTAGTATTGCCAAGAATCCTGTGCTTCATGACAAGACCGAGCATATTAAAGTTGATAGGCACTTTATCTCTAAAAAGGTTTATGAGGACAAATTGATGATATCTTCACCAAAGCACTTCCTTTAAACAACTTCTCAGAGTTCAATATCATGCTTTGTCTTTACAACATCTATGACCAAGTTTGTGGGGGAATGTGAAAAACTGAGAAGGATTTCCACTTACATGCTAGGGTGGACTTGTCGGCTACCATAGAAATCATGGAGGATTGATTGGGGACTACTTTGTAAACTACATAATTAGTTTTATTCCCTTTGTATTTTTTTCTTTATTTTTTATTTTAGATTTATTTTGTTTTTATGATTTATATTAGATGTATTTGGTAAGTTTGCAAATTATAAGGAATTATTTTTCCTATATGTATGTACCATACATGTGAATAATAAGATCAAGAGAATTTTTCCTCTCCAAACATATTTTCTATGGAAACAAACACGTCTAATATTCAAAACAGACCAACTATTAAATATGGGGTTCTAAAACAAATTAAAAAAAAATAATTCATCATCAGCAGCAGCCACCGCCGTATTCCAACTAGCAAGGGCAAGCTCTATGAAACCACATTTTCTATTTATTTGTATTAGGTGCTATATGCTCTATAAAAAATAATATATAATTTTTTTAATAAGTTCTAAGCCATATTAACTTAAGATCTCTCAACCTCATGATATTTTATCAAACCATCAAATAAGTGCATTTTATACTCCTTTTGTACATGTGTATATCACATTATCTTCAATAAACAACATTCTTATAATCTCTAACATAGTCAAGCCTTACTATATCCTTCATAACTTTCCACACTTTTATCTTCATACTCATTCTTGCCATACTTCACTTGGCTATCAACTACTACTATACTACCTAGCACTCTCGGAGGTCAAAGCCATACAAAATAATACGTCTATCTGCAATTTTATAGATTTAACTTTTAAGTCTTCATGATATTGTTTTATCACATAATACTTGTAAAACAATTGTCCATTTTAATCACAGCCATAAACTTAGAAGTTATGTCCTTAATCATGTATGCAATTTATATAATATATCAAAGATAAATAACATTAGTACATTTAAATATCACTTTATCTTTTGATAATATTGGTTAATAATGATTAATATTACACCCGCTAAAGGTGAGTATCATATCTTACTCTTTGTTCAATAAAAATGAATCCCTTTGGCTTAGAAATATTTTGTCCATCGTTATAACGTTCCACTTATTTCAAATTTTAATAAAAATACAAATTATTAGGATTATAACATTTGAAAAAAAAAACTGCTTACTTTGAATATCCTTTGTAAGGATCTTCATAATTAATACAAAATAATATAATATCAATATTGTATCTATAAAAAAAAATTCATGTAGTCGTTTCACAATTTGCTAATATACGTCAAAGCTCAAATATCTACTTTCATTTTAAAATAACTTTGACATAAATCATTTTTTCTCAATGCCCGCAAATGCAAACTCAATTCTATACCTCCTCAAAATAAATAAAAATCATATGAAAATCCATTCTATGCCCTCTTTATCAACCGTTTCGATAATGGATCTAAACAAGAAAAGAAACAAACCTACAAAGATCATTTAGCCTGTACAAGATACAATATAATCTGACATGATAAGAACACAAAAAAAAATGGATAACCTAACAATAATGGAACTGTGGAAATACTTATGTCATCATGTCACCTTGATAGGTAGTACCTCTATCATAACTACCCATGGTCGACCAAATATTCTTCTGCAAAAGAAACTTTCGCAGATTTCCAAGCTAAAAAAAGTTAATCCATTGAGTAAATTGATTCCTCACAGGCATGATTGCATCATTATTCAATGTTTTGATATGCCATAACAAAAAGGCATTTCTAAGAAAATTTTGTGTTTAAAAATATGATGCATGGAAAGAGAAAATATAACACAATAAAGGAATATCAAGTTTGAGAACTTGTGCTTATAAGATTTATTTACACTATTAGGACGATAGTCCTGCTTGATAAAATATAACACAAAAAAAGATTATCGACTTTGAGATCTCGTGCTTGTAAGATTTATTTACACTATTTGGCAGGTAGTCCGGTTCAATACAAAAAAATTAAGCAAAAAAGTTGAAACATGACATTATGGTGTAGAAATATGAAAAGAAACAGAAAATATACCGAAAAGGGCGGAATTGGTGACGGCCACCCTCTCTGATGCGCAGAGGACCTTCAGGATGCTCTTCAGCGTCCTTCATTTTATTAAAACATCTGGCAAGATAGGTCCCTTGCTGTGCAGCAACCTGAAGAAAACACTGATCAGGTTAGAAACAGTAAGAAATTCAGAAACAGCAATAAGTCAATTTCCACAAATTCAGAAAACAACCTGTGCTGTAGCTGGAAGTGTCTTTACTTGTGAATCCACGTCAGTAAGAGCTTTTCTGAACTCTTCTATGTCCACTTCTATGGCCTCTTTCTTAGCATCACCTTTAGAATCCTTTAGAAGTTCAAGAATGCTGCTCATTCTCTTGCTCTTCAAATATAGTTCCACTTGGGGATACCTTAAGCAAATATCTTCTAAAACATCCTGAATTTCTTTCACTGTTAAAGTTCCAGAGTTATCTATATCCGCTATCCTAAATATTTCTGCAATATCTTCCTGATTTCATGAAAAAAGAAAGTCAATTTGAAATAGTATACTTCTATTATCAACTTCATAGACTAGATTGTCATAAGTTTATTCTGTAAGTTTTTTGGTTGCTAGACAAATCAAAATTCGATACACTGATCTTAATTTAGTTTCAAAGAGAACATTTTGGATCAATTTTATATGGAGACCAAATTAGAAAAATGTGATACTCTGAGACTAAAAAGCTACATATGAGTAGTCATGAGACTAAAAATCTCAAGACATGTTTTATTTTGAATCTGAAACTATTATCCAATATCCTGTGCATCTCAAAGCATCTACATAGCTGAAATCATGTTTTTTTTTATTATTGCTTAAGAAAATGGAAGAGAAGAAAACACTATTGCAACGATCTAAAAGTTTAACAAAGAGGTGGAAGTGGAATAACAATGGAGAGGGAATATGCGAGATAGATGGAGTTTGGAAGGGGGTAGAAGAAGTTTAGCGCCTTTCCAGGCTGAAAACAGTGACAGAACCCAAAATAATGATCCAAATGGGCACAGCTGCCATGAGAGATCCACAACCTATCTTGAACAAGCTTCAAACACACCACTTGTAAAAGAAAGAGGATATAACATGCCTTAGGGCAAGCAAATCAAATAACACAAACTCCAAATACATAAACTAAAGCAAAAGTCCCTAAACCAGGTTCTTAAACAGCATATAACTCTATTTCATTTCAAAATAAACATAAATATAGGCCCACTAGGGCCAATCCACCCCTACAAGAATAAATAATCTTGAAATGAGACATCTGGGATAGGAAATACCATCATGATTCTTGCCTAAGCAGAAATAATCCAGCTCCTGTGTCACTCTCCCAAGGTAGGAGAATCTTCATCTTCTCACGTGGAGACTTCTGAATGATAAAGATAACACAAATATTATAGTCTTCTGACAAATCAATTTTAGTCATTGTCATTAATCCTCTTGATAACTTTGAATGGTCCATCTGCCCTAGAAATCAATGTTCCAAATAAAACTTCATAAAATCTCTTCTTCAGTCTAATCCACACTAAATTCCCCTCATTGAAGAGTATGACCTTCTTGGAATTATTAGTCTGCTTCTGATACCAAGTGTTTTACTTCACAATTTATATCCTTACCTGCTCATGTAAACTTTGAATATCTGACTTTAATCTCTGCATCCAAGCTAACTCAGTAGCTGGAAGTATCGACAATAACTCCAAAGGAGTGAGAGAATTTCGTCCGTATATATAAACAAATGGGTTGAGACCTGTGGACTGACCAGCGAAGCAATTATAGGTAAACCCAACCAGTGAAAAAAATTAAATTCCATTAATGGACATTTTTGCCTACAAAGTATATAATGAGTTTTCCCAAATTGCAATTTATAATTTTTGTTTGTCAATCTGTCTAAGTGTGTTGTTAAACTAAACTGAAGTTTTGTACCTGATTTATCTCAGAGAATCTCTAAAAGTGGTTGAGAAATTTCATATCTCTATCTAAAATGATGGTTCTGTTGTGATATATATGAAATTTAAAACGATCGACGACGAAGTGAAAAAATAGGACCAAAAAAATTCACACCAAAAGAACACAGATTTACGTGGTTCGGCAAATTGCCTACATCCACGGAGTTGTAGAGAATTTTACTAATTGAGGAATTTACACCGCTTGATCACAACGACAATTACAGAAGAAAGTCTCTCACTTTCTCACTCTCTCTTCTTCTCTCTCTACACCGAGATACATTGAAGAAGAAGAAAAATAAGAAAGAAATATACATGGGAGAATCAAACCTGCAGCTATTGCTTTTTCCCCCCAATCTAAGGCCTCAACGAATTCCTACCAACCAAAGGGAGAACCCTTGCCTTGCAAATTACTATCTCTTCTTCTTGAACAAAAATGTCGAAGCCAAATGGAGGAGCAATCCAAACCTTTCGCTACGTTCCTTTTCTTCTTCTGCTTCGCAAAAGACCCTAACCTCCTGTTCGCGACTTCAAGTAGTGGTTCGCAAAATATGAGAGGCGGGAGGCGGAAGAAAATAACAGGAGCAATTTTTTTTTTTTACGTTTTCGTGGACCGTTTCCACTTAACAAATCTCTCACTTGGAGACTGATACACAAAAAAACGACGTTCTTCCTCCTCAAACTGATATCCTTTACTGGCGGCGTAGTTCATTTCTTCAAACGTGATATCCCCTACCTCTGCAACTCAAGGTCAATGTCTTCCCCCCAGAAGACCAACTGAAGCTACACACAACTTCAGTTTCTGCATAGTAACACCCTTTGTCAACATATCAGTAGGATTCTGGCTTACACAAACTTTCTCGAGCAACAATTATCTGTCATCCAACAATGATCGTATCAAGTGATACCTGATCTGAATGTGTTTAATCCTGGAATGAAATGTTGGATTCCTGACAAAGAATATGGTGCTCTGACTATCACTGTATGGAGTATGTCCATCTGATCCTTCTTGCCTAATTCTTTCAAGAAGCCCTGTAGTCATATCATTTCCTTTGCAGCCTCTGACACTGCTATATACTCATATTCTGTAGTAAACAACGAAACTGTCTTCTGCAGATTAGAGCCCCATGATACTGCTGTGCAATCAATAGTATAAATATAACATGTAGTACTTCTTCTGGTATCAATGTCTCTAGCTAAATCAGCATCAACATAGCCCCGTACCTCTGAACTCTTTCCTGCGAAACACAAGCAAGTTTCTGTAGAGCCTCTTAGGTACCTCAAGATCCACTTCACTGCTTCCCAATGTTCTTTTTTAGGATTACTCATGTATCTGCTACAACTCCCACTGCATGGGCAATATCCAGTCTGGTGCAAACCATAACATACATAAGTGAACCAATAACTGAAGCATAAGGAACCATACTCATGTGATCTCGTTCCTCCTCTGACTTGGGTGACTGGTTCTTGCTGTGTCTGAAGTGACTTCCCAAGGGTGTTTCAACTGGTTTGACCTTATCAATGTTGAACCTGCTAAGTACATTTTTCACATACACAGCCTGAGAGAGTCTCAACATGCCGCTGACTCTATCTCTGACAATTCTCATGCCAAGAATTTGTTTTGTCGCTCCCAAATCCTCCATTGCAAAGTGCTTTGACATCTGCTCCTTCAGATTATTGATCTCTTCAATACTAGCACCTACAATAAGCATAGCATTTACGTACAACAGTAGGATGATATAAGAATCAAAATACCTGACATGACAAACAGTGATCTGCCTGACATCTGTTGTACCCTGCACTGTGCATGAAATTATCAAATTTCTTGTACCACTGTCTAGGAGCTTGCTTCAGGTCATACAAGTTCTTCTTCAATCTGCAAACTGCTCTTCCTTTCCCTGAATCACGAACTCTTCAAGTTGGTGCATGTAGATGTCTTCTTCAATATCCCCATGAAGAAATGTTGTCTTCACATCAAACTTGTCTTCAAATAAACCTGCTCAAGGAAGAGATCTTCAGTAGCCACCATTGACAGTATCTTTCTGATGGTTGTAAGCTTCACCACAGGAGAAAAAATCTCAGAATAATCAATATTGTGTTTCTGCTGAAAACCTATTACAACAAGTCTAGTCTCGTACCTTTTATTGTCATCATGCTCAGTCTTCACCTGATACACGCCGGTACACCCACTTGTTGTGTAATGCATTCTTCCAAGTTGGAAGATCTGTTAACTCCCAAGTCTGATTTCTAGCAGAGAATCCATCTCCTTCATGACAAGCTTCCACTTGCTCGAATTTTCATCTTGCAAGATTTCTTCATAACTCTAAGATTTCTTCATAACTTGCAAGATTTCTTCATAACTCTGAGGTTCTTCACCATCTGTCAGCAGAATGTATTTCAAAATTGGAGAATAACGCTGTGGAAAACGTCTAGCCCTTTCTGACCTACGAACTGCAACTATAGGGGTAGATTGCTCTGAAACTGACAGTAGAACAATAGGAATAGATGCCCCGGATCCACTCTCCTCATGACTAGCATATTTGTCCTGCACTGTGACCTCTGGTAAATCATCAAATTTTACCAACTCCGATTCCTTCAGTGTTGTTTCAGAAACTATACTGAATTTATCCTTGTACATAACCTTCTCATTGAAAATCACGTTCCTGCTCCTTATGATCTTCCGACTATGATCATCCCAGAAACGATATCCAAAATCCTCATCTTCATAGCCAATGAAATAACACTTCCTTGACTTAGCCTCAAGTTTATTACGAGCATCAGAATTAATGAGAATATAAGAACGACAATCAAAAGTCTTAAGGTGATAAAATTTTACCTCTTTCCCACTCCATATTTCTTCAGGTAATTCACACTTTAATGGAGCAGATGACCCCCTGTTGATCAAATAAACTGCAGTGTTGACCGCTTCTGCCTAGAAAGTAGGTGGTAGTCCGACGTGCAATCTCATGCTTCTAGCCCGCTCATTAATGGTTATGTTCATGCGCTCCGCAACACCATTTTGTTGTGGTATCCCCGGAGTGGTCTTCTCCATTCTGATTCCCTGAGCTACACAGTACTCCCTAAACCCACCATCAATGTACTCACCATCATTATCAGACCTCAGAAATTTCAACTTTAAGCATGTCTCTATCTCAACCATGGTCTTCCAAGTCTCGAACACACTGAATACATCAAATTTATACTTCAAGAAATAAACCTATACATTTCTGCTATGATCATCAATGAATACGACGTAGTAACGAGAGCCTCCAAGAGATGCTATTGGAGACAGTCCCCACACATCTGTGTATACAAGATCAAGTTTTCCTGCCTTTGGCGTCCTACCACTTTTCAAGAAACTGACATTCCTTTGTTTTCCCATAATGCAACTCTCACAGATGCCGAGATCAACTGACTTCAGTTCTGGTAACTTAACTCTGGACTGAAGTTCCTTCATACATCTCTGACTCATGTGGCCAAGTCTGCAATGCCACAACTCTGTTGTGCTCTCTGCAACAGTAGTATCAACATTATTAATTAAACAAGTAGTTATATACATTATACATGTTTTCTTACCGCGAGTCAGTATCAATGCTCCTGTAGTAACCTTCCAGGTGCTATCTGAGAACACTTCTGAGAACACTACTGAATGAGAACACTACTGAATGTTCACACTCATCAAACTGCCCAACAGAAATGAGGTTCTTCTTCAGTTCAGGAATGTGTCTAACCTTTTGCGGAGTCCATTTGTTATTGTTTGGAAGTGCAATGTCTATATCTCTCATTTCTATCACGTTCAGAGCTTCTCCATCTGCAAGATATATTTTCCCAAAGTCACCTGCAACATAATTCTGCATCAATTCCCGATGGAAAGTTGTATGGAAAGAAGTTCCTGAATCTAGTATCCAGTCATCAGCAGAATTATGAACTGTCAACAATAGTATATTCTGTGATTCTTCAGTTACCACATTCGCACTGTCATTCTCCTTCTTCTTAGGATTCTTGCAGTTCCTCCTTATGTGGCTAATTTTGTCACAATTCCAGCAAGTTACTTGTTTACCAAACATTGACTTGCTCCTGCTTCTATTCTTTGATTTTGATCTTCCCCTATTTGAGTTTCTGTCATGTGATCTCCCTCTGGAATCAACATTTAGTACCGAACTCGAACTTGAGATCTCGCCAGAATCTTTCCTGCGCACCTCAGCCAAAATCAAATCACGAATATCTTCATATTTCAATTTTGATTTACCTGCAGAATTAATGACAGTCATCTTCATAGTTTCACAGCTATTTGACAATGAAGTCAACAAGATCAGTGCATGTATCTCATCATCAAATTCAATTTCCACTGATGATAATTGATTTGTGATAGTATTAAAATCTTTCAGGTGTTGTACAACAGACGTGTCTTCCATCATCTTCAAATTGAATAACCTCTTAATCAGATATACTTTGTTATTTACCGATGGTTTTTCATACATACCTGACAGGACTGTCATAAGATCGGTAGTCGTCGAGCCTCGATAGGGTCAATCAAATAACCCCAGAACCTGTTTATCCAACATATTTCATTCAGCCTCATCAATTCTTTCAGGTATTTTTCCCAATAACGGAAGATTGAGCTTCTTCTCATAGAAGTAATCCTCTATCTACGTCCTCCAGTAACCAAAATTTGCGTCATCGAATTTTTCGATCTCTGAAACATTCACTTCATCCACAGTCATTGGCTCTGTTACCAGTTGTTGTGGTATATATGAAATTTAAAACGATCAACGACGAAGTAAAAAATAGAACGAGAAAAATTCACCAAAAGAACACACAGATTTACGTGATTTAGCAAATTGCCTACATCCACAGAGTTGCAGAGGATTTTACTAATTGAGGAATTTATACCGTTTGATCACAACAACAATTACAGGAGAAAGTCTCTCACTTTCTCACTCTCTCACTCTCTTCTTCTCTCTCTACACCGAGATATACCGAAGAAGAAGAAAAATAAGGAAAAAATATATATGGTAGAATCAAACCTGCTGCTGCTATTTCTTTTTCCCCCCAATCTAAGACCTCACCAAATTCCTATCAACTAAAGGGAGAATCCTTGCCTTGCAAATTACTATCTCTTCTTCCTGAACAAAAATGCGGAAGCCAAAGGAGCAGTCGAAACCTTTCACTACGCTCTTTTTCTTCTTCTGCTTCACAACAGACCCTAACCTCTTGTTCGCGGCTTCAAGTAGCGGTTCGCAAAATATAAGAGGCGGGAGGCGGGAGGCGGGAGAAAATAACGGGAGCGGTTTTTTTTTCGTTTTCGTGGACCGTCTCCACTTAACAGGTTCTGGGTATACCCTGGATACAAACTATCCAACAAGGGCCTTTGGAACAAAGAGGGGGAATGTATAAACATGTACTTTGCCCCTAAGTCTTAGCTAAGTGACAAACTTTGCATCGTTGATTATATCTCTCCATATCTCATACAAATATGGGTCAATAGAAATTCTCTCATACTAAAGAACCTTGTCTCTATCAGAATGTCCAGTCATCCACCCATTGTGACACTCCTATAAAATGCTATTGAGTGAACTCTAAGGAATGCACAATTTGATAATATTAGGGATTTCTCACGAGTAAATTAATAGAATTAATAGATATTATAATTCACAGGAAGATAAATATATTATACATTCAATAAACTAAATAGGTTGAAGAAAAGACTAAGAAGTTTTGATAGGTTAGATTTCAAACTTTCATATTCAGAAATGAATCGTACTAGAAATAGTGCAAGTATAATTATATATAAGAGTTTCAAAGATAATAATACAAAATTTAATAGAATTGGAGATAAAATTATAGCCTTAAAGATTGTTGTTGATATTAAGATTCTTAATATTATAGGTGTTTATGCTCCTCAAGTAGGCTTAAATATAAGATCAAAAGAAAATTTTTGAAATGACAATGGAAGAATTAATACAAAGAATACCTGTTGAATAAATAAATTTTATTGAAAGAGATTTAAATAGACATATTGATAGAGTGACAGAAGATTTTAGAAATATTCATAGTGGCTATGATTTTGAAGTGATTAATGAAAAAGATAGTCATATTGAATTCTGTTTTAGCTTATAATTTTGTTATTACTTATGCTTTATTTTAAAAAAAAAATCAGTATATATTACTTAAAAGAATACGTTTAATAAAACATGACTTAATAATTGTATTATAACAAAAAGAGAATGTCGATATTGTAAAGATTATAAGGTCATTTCAAAAAAAAAATTTAAACACTCAACATCAATTATTAGTTTTAGATTTTAAGATAAAGAGTTGGAAAATAAAAAATACAACGGAATATTATCATAGAATTAGATAGGAAGCACTTAAAAAACACAAATAAAATTATTTTTATAAGTAAACTTCACGATCGCAAGATTTAAATTGTTTATAAAAAAAATAATGTCATGTGGGATAAAATAACAAGCACTATTAAGTCAGTTGTTAAAGATATCTTTGGAGAATAAAAAGAAAAGCACTTATAAATAAAAATAGTTGGTGATAAAATAATAATGTGCAAGAAAATAATAAATATAAGAATTTTATTATAAAAATTGGTTTAAAAGTAAAAAACTTAAAGAATTGAAAAAAAAATATAAAGAGGCTCATGGGGGAGTCTAAGAATAATTTTTGCTAAAATTTTTAGTTTTAGTGATCCTTATAATAGATTAGATATCAAAGAACCAAAAATATATATATACAAGCTTGTCAAAAAAGAGAAAAAAAAAGTAAAGACTTAGTTCAAATAAAGTGCATTAATGATGAAAAATATGTTATTCTTAGATTAGTCAACATGGGTAGTGAAATATTTTGATAAAATTTTCAATAGATATTTTGAAAATACAATTGATTTTAGTGATCTTAATGTCGTTAATAATATTAAACTTCACTTTTACTTTCGCATTAGAAAAAATGTTATCCCAATAGAAGTGTGCAGATCTTTAAGAGATTTTGAAATTTCTTGACTTACTAATTTCTTAATAAAATTTTAAAACAAAAAAAATGACTGAGGAGTGGAGGAAAAGTACATCAATCTCTATTTTTAAGAATAAAGAAGATGCACAAGAATGTGAAAATTATAGAAGAATTAAGTTAATTTCATACATTAAAATTATAGGAGAGTATTTGAAATAGGTTAAAACGTGATACAAAATTTCTCAAAATCAATTGGTATTTATGTCGGACAAATCTGCTATGGAAACTATAAATTTATTGAGAGAATTGATCAAGCACAAAGAGTTAAGGATAATCTGCATATAATTTTTGTTGATTTAGAAAAAAAAACTTATGATAAGATTCCAACAGATATTCTTTGGAGTGTTTTAGAAAAGAAAAGTGTTGATATGACTTATTTTCAAGTCATTAAAAATATGTAAACTAAAGCAGTTACTTGTGTTCAAACAAAAGGCGGATTGATCAAGTATTTTCCTATTTCAATTGGATTACATCAGGGATTGGATTTAAGCAGATATCTTTTTGCTTTAGTTATGGATTTTCTTACTAGACATTTACTGGAGGATGTACCTTGGTGTAAGCTTCCCTGATGATATCTTCTTATGGATAAGACTAGAGAAAGACTCCAGGAAAAATTTGAATTATGAAGGTTAACTTTAGAGTTTAAAGGCTTTCGTTTAAGTAGATATAAAATTGAATTCATGGAATGTAATATTAGTAGCAGTAGATCTAATGGCGGGGTTATAACCATGGGTGATCAAGTCATTAAAAGAATTGAACGTCTTAGATATCTCAGGTCCATTCTTCAAAGTGATGGTGATATAGATGAGGATGTTATTAGTAAAATTCAAGTTGGATGGTTGAAGTGGAGGAATGCATGGGGCCTATTGCATGATTGAAAAGTACTTCTTAGACTTAAAAAAGAAAATTTTAAAAGATGTTGGTGAGTTCTGCAATAATTTATAGCGCAAAATGTTGGCCTCTAAAAGAGAAGAATAGAACTAAGTTAAGTGTTGTTGAGATGAGGATGCTTAGGTGGATAGTGGATTTATATTTAGAGAAAAAATGCAAAACAAATATATTTGTGAAAGGGTTGGTATAGCTCCAACGGCAGAGAAGATTAGAGAGACTCATCATAAATGGTTTGGTCAGTCATCCGATGATCAAGTTAGGAGAGTAAATGTTTTATATTTGACTTATGATAAGATAGGTTGAGGTAGACCTAAAAAGATTTGGGCATGTATAAAAAGTTATCTTAATTTATTAGAATTAAATGAAAATATGAAACTCAATAGGACATAATGGAGGAGAAGGATTCATGTAGTTGACCCCGCTTAGTGGGATAAAGGCTTGTTGTTGTTGTATGCTAATTTTGCATATTCTTAGTAAGTAAATATGCATATGCTAGATGTTCAAAGAGAATAGAACAAACATATTAATCTTAATAGATCAATTACACTTAGTTCAAAAATACAAGGAAGGTCATCATCAAACACACTTACCATGATTTTCCTTTGACTGATTGATGCACAATCGCCAACTGCATAGATACCATCACATCCACAAACTCTTAGCCATTCATCAGTAGCCAAAACACGCCTATTGCCCTAGGGATGTAAATCATATGGTTAAAAACATAATACCACGTAAAAATCATTAGTTCTCAAGAAAACAAAAGAAATCCTTCAATCATCTAACCTGACCAATTTGCTTCATGAAGTCCGCAATAAGAGGTCGGGTACCTATACCAGTAGACCATACAACCATGCCATAAGGTTCTGAAAACTCTCCAGTTGTCTTGGATCTCATAGTTATTTCTTTATCAGAGACATTTATGACTCTGAATCCTGTTTTAAGATCAATACCATCTCTCTGGAACTTCTCTTCCGCAAACTTGCCAATCCTTTTGTCAAACCTGTAAACAAAGAAAAAACAAGATTAAATTTTAGTCTTAAGCAAAACTAAATTAAAATTACATTCTTACACCTGAAATAAGCAAAAAAATTGAAATAAGTGAAAAATTTTTGGGTATCACTTCATAAATTTAGCGCTCCACCAAAAGTTCATCGCTATGGCTTGGTAGATGGATCCTGTCAGGAGGTGCTCAGGTTGTGAATCTGTATTCTTTCAAGTTCACAGTCACGAAGCATGGTTTCCCATACATTAGCTATTACAGAGATGATTATTATTCCTAAACATAAGCATAATACAAATAGATATAATTCATCTGGAAATAGTATTCATAAATTTCCAACTAAAACTAAATCCAACATCATTATCATTAACATCATATAAAATTAACATTCTCCCTACTATTTGGCTTGCTGCACTTAAATAATAACCATGTTATATGATTTGTCGATGGACCTAGACAGGAAATATTTTGGTTATAAATTAAAACGCATTTTAAATTTAAAAATCTTGAAGAAAAACAATTCACAATTTAACATGGTGGGATCACATATGATAGCTATTATATGATGGTTACAAGCTTAGTATTTTCAACTATCATTAAAAGAAAGCACAAAAAAAAATGATTATACTGACAAAAATCTTCTGGACTTCTATGCTAATGTAAACTGCCGCCAAAAAAAAAAAAAGAAATAAAAAATGAAAACAAAAGGTGTACCTTGCAATGTAAATGAAAAGCCACATTAAGCAATGGAAATGGTATGAAAAGTGTTGAAAAGTAGAGCACGCAAGCTATTCAAATAAGCGTCTAATTGATGGATGGCATGTAAAGTTCGCTTGAGGAATCAATTGATAAGGAATGGAATGCTGAGAAGAATTAATGTTTAAGAGGCTTACTCCGGCGTTGCAAGCAAACTTTATTCATTAAAAAAAAAGGTGAGTGTGGAGAGAGAGAATTGACAGAAAAAAAATAATTGAAATCAAGCATATTACTACACGTAATAAGTGTGTATGCCAAATATACACGGAAGAAATATTGAAAAAAAACTCTTTTTCCCTTCAACTTAGCCAGTCACCATCCACCAACTCCCATCATGCAAAGTATTAAAAAGAAAATGAAAGACATTTCTTCCTAGCATAGCAACAGAAAATAAAGTGAATGTGGTCCAGCACTCTGCAGAGAAATCTAGCAATTCACAAAATTTACCATGCAGTTGAGCCGTGACTTGGTACAGAAAAATAAGATAAAATAGCAGATGCTAAGAAAAAGCTTCGGTGCTTCCAATTATAATGCAGCTGATCTCTATTAGCAAAAATTTGCAATACTTTCCGATAGCTAAAAGTTTTCATGTGCACACTCAAAAGAGCTTCAACCAAAAAAGTAGTCAACATCTTATGAGGGTGGCACAGGAGGTCAGAACTGAGGGATTCCGAGACCCCGATGGCAGGAAATCCGGGATATTGCAAACGGGCGATCCTGCGACAGTCACGAGCGGGAAACAAGAACCTGGGAGGGATAAACAGAGAAAAGCTCATCAGGTTGAAAAATTCAGCAGGGATTGTTGCCTTTTTGAGCTTATTTCCTTTTTTTTCCTTCTAATTAGGGTTTCTTTCTAGCAATCGATTATTAATATGATATATTTTTCAGTTTTGAAAACTTTTGCTTGTATTTTGTAATTTGGCGATAGTAATCTCTGATTTATGCTCTAAAGAGTGTTGTATCGTCCTCCTTTAACAATTGATGTATATGTATCTTGCACATGAACAGATGTTGAATCTTCCTCGCCGTTCATACTTCGTCGTTTTGTCGATCAACATTTGTTTTTCAGTTGGGACAGTAGTCGAACTTCATCAATTTGATGACTAAAAGCAGACTTCATACATTATTCCCTTCCAAAAGCCATCAACCAACCATAAACTCTTTATCGTACTATTATGCGCAACTAACTCCCTATAAATTCCGCTTCCTAAACACCTTCTAGGAGCCTTAGAACGATGTCGTAGGGGTTCCAAGAATTTTGAGACATTTGTCAATCACATGCCTAAAACTAAAATCCACAACCTAAATTTTCGGCCGACTCAACACCCTAACCGTTCTTACTGTAATTATTAATCCAAACCCTAAATTTAAAAAAGACAACTTTTCTACATCTAACAAAAGCCACCCCAAAAACCACCATCAAAACCCTGAGCACTCGGCCAACATTTGACACGAAAAAATTTTATTCCCTACATTACCCACCTAGCCCTAACCCTAATCAGATTTTCTTCTTCCTTCAAAACAACCATTCAAAGAATAAGACGTCATACCATCAAAAAGAAACCCTCAACGAGGTATTGAGGATAACACTAAGGAGGATATGTAGTGAAAAATCTTCCTGTTGTAACAAAGGCTTACCGCCTTTGAGAAAAGACAACTTGGAGAGGCCACCCACAGCCACAACAGAAACTCACTGGATCTAAAAGAGGAAAAGAACCCCCTCCACCATGAAGTTTCCAGTTACAAAGAACCAATACCCCTTTGATTTGACATGGAAAATAATATGAGAAAAAAAGGATTTTAGAGTAAAGGTGAATTTATCAAATTTTGACGATCACATGGATGCAAAAGAGTTCATTGAGTGTGGCCCAAGACAATGGAATGGGTCTTTGAGTACAAGAACATTCCACTTGACAAAAATGTAAATCTAATTTTCATTAAAGAATAATGTGTCTCCATAGTGGGAAAATTCGAAGCGCCTATGTCAAAATTACATAAAAAAGCAAAATCACGACATGCGCCAAGCTAAAAAGAGAGTTGCAGCATGTCATGTCTTTTCTTAGAATTCAAACATTTTAAATTTAAGTGTGAATTAATGGAACACGAGGAAAAACCATTGTTCTATATATGGGAGGATTGGTATTGTATATTGGCAACATAGTACAATTACAACCCTATTAAACACTACAGAATGTCTAAACCTTAGCCCTAAAAGTGGCAACACAACAATATCAAATCTGCACCATTCGTCAAATAGGATTCAACCATCGAATCAGACAACAAAAGAGCACCCATGGGAGCAACCATACCAATCCCGCCCAAGGAGAAATCAATTCAGAGTGGAGAAAAGGGAGAGGCCACCAATATTCCCAAATTCAGGTCAGCCAGAAAATACCTTAAGTGTCATGGCTTTGGGCATAATGTGTCTGATTGCTCAAATACGAGAGTGCTCTCTTTCGCTAAGGAGTCGCTGAAAAAATGGACAATAGCATGGGAGAGAATGAAGATGTCAGAGAGGAGAACCAATCTCTAAATAACGAGAGAGAGATGCTAGTGATTTGATGAATCATTTAGGCTGAGCCCGTGAGAAAACCACCGGCAAGATTAGCATTAATTGCCCTAGAAAGTAGTGAATTCCAGTAGCTAATATAAAAAAGGGCAATCTCTCTGAGGGAGCTGTCCAATGTTCTACTCGCAGTTTACCTCCTAGGTAGCTACCACTAAGAGCCGTCTAGCATATCATCACTTCAGAAAGAGACGAGAAATTTTGAACTATTTATGAAAGACTATGGACTAAGTTGGGTACTAAGTTTCAGTTCAACACCAGTGCGCCTACAAAATGATGGTCATATCAGAGTGGTGAACCACAACCTTGCAAATTTCCTTAGATGTTTTGTGGGAAAGCACATCAGATAGTGGGCTCCGAGAATTTCTAAAGAAGAAGAATAAGCCTCTCATTAGCAACAAAAATGACATGGGAGTATCAAGTCAGCGATACTTCAGAATTCAAGGTATCCCACAATTATGCGACAATCCCAAGCGAGAGATGCGATCGTTGAAGGGCTAAACAAAGAAATTCTCATCCGGTTGACATATTCAATAGAGATTGTTGTTAGCTTGTTTCCTATTTATTTTCTTATAACTAGGATTTCTTTCTAGAAAAAAAAATTATTTATATACTTTATTTTTTAGGTTTTGAAAACTTTTGCTTGATTTTGTGTAATTTGGAGATTGTAATCTATGATTTCTACTTTAAAAAGTGTTGTATCCTAATTTTACAAGTGATGTCTATGTATCTTGCTCAGGAACATGTAATGGATTCTCCACGCCGCCCATACTTCGTTGTTTCGTCTTTCGACCGTTGTTTTCAATTCGAACAGCAAGCGAACTCCGTCAGATGTCCAAAAACAGATTTCACCCCTTACCTCCTTCCAAACGTCGTCGATTGCTCCTATGCCCCTTATCATACTATTACAACACTACCTCCCCACAAAATTCGCTTCTTAAACACCATATAGGAACCCTAAAACGGTATTGAGGATATCATAAAAAATTGTATTAGCGGAGGTGGGCAAAGAGCTTCAAGTTAGACAAAACTATGACAATCTACCATTACAGGATATATTATTTTCAAATAATTTATCCTCCTATTACATTCAAGTTTGATAGTTTACCTTTAGTTTGGAATGTGTTCGACAACATTGTCATCTTAGGATGATATAAATAATTTTGAGGTTCATCAAATCCTAATTTATTCTAAAAGCTATGTACTTCTTTTGCATGATTAAAAAAATGAAGATTGATGTATATAATCAGAAACCATCCACGAGGAAAATTGTCGATTTCTTGGGCAAGCTGTAAAAATTATGACTATCTGTAACTTGTGGGGACTAGTAAGTATTTACCATTGGTTCCTCAGAATTTTTCTATAGAATGTGCACTATTAGCTACAAATCACTCTTTGATTGGCCTTTCCTAAAAATGTAGCATCAGCTTATCACTTTGAAGTAAAATTTTCTGCTAAATAGGGATCACAATAGAAAAAGGATAAAGTAACCAATCAAGAATCCCCTACATGAATGAAATAAAGTAATATATCAAACAATGAAAAAGAGAAGTTGAGCAAACTCCACAACAAAATCTTGCAAAGTTAGACCCATACAAGGAGGAGCTTAAGCAAAGGACTGCCCTTCAACTAGCAAAGGCTAAATATCTCGATGGAGCATGGCTCAACACATACGAAA